ACGTAACCGGTGTTGCGGCTTAACACCGGTATCACCGTCAACACCGTCTATCGCGGCAAGCCTAGTCTCCACACAGTAAACAAAACAAGCGTTTCCTAGCAACGACAACTGCACTAAACACTAATGAGACAAGTAAATACACTTACGAGCTGCTTTTAACTTCTGCTGATAAAGACTGCTTCTCTCAAAGACTATTTCTTTACACTGTTTTCTGCTGGCGCTTGAACACACTTTCCTTATTTTCTCCGCAACAAATGCCCAAGCAAGCGCAGACACTGACAAGATAGCGATACAGAACGAGACCAAACACGATATCAGCACGTCTCCACGCTGTAAACAAAACCCCTAATATATATAACAAAACAAAATATATGTATTTATTTATATATATATTATAAATAAAAAAAACAGGAACTCATTACATGGTAGGGCTGCAGTATTATGACAAATCATTGTCAGATATTGCCCTTGATATTATAATAATGATCAGGGCTCCAGGCTACGCCTGAAACGGCATTACAAACACTGATATTTTATCTAATTTGCGAGTGAAGTTTCTGCCGAGATCGCCACTGGCGACTATATAAATGTACAATTTTAAAATGATTTAAACTTCCATGTAATGCTTTTTTTCCCTGATTGTTTTGCGATCTCATCTTTTGTTATGTTGACGTAATAAACTGAGACGATGCACATCAAAGTTTTAATGGAAAAACAGTCCTCATCTCTGCCTAACACCTGCTAAAAGCAGTTCCAGGTGTGCAGCATGAGAGAGATTGAACATGACGGACACATGAAGTAAAAGTGCAGAAAAGCAGTGTCTGTTTCGTGCACAACTTGAACAAACAACAGGTAAAGCTGTCAGCTTTATGGACATTAACAATATCGTTAACGATTCTCGTTTATAATCGATACTAATATTTTATTTTTTTTAAATTTTATTTATTTATTACAGGGACAATGCATATTAATAAACATTTCTGTCAATATGCCAGAATTAGCCAGAAGGCTATTTTTCACCCGCAGTCCCTAGACAGATGGTAATAGTCACCCTAAAAGAGAGTAAAATTACATATTAACATAACAATAAAACAATTACAATACATTTAGTAAAAAGTACTATTAAGCTATGATGTACAATAGAAACGCAACAGACCAACAATCAGACAAACATCAGACAAATACATGAACACATACACACACACAAAGCAAAAAAACAAACGGGGCAGCGAGAGCAGGTCTAGTAGTAAGCTAATGTTGACAGCTCTGATTATCAATGAGCCATTTCTTTAACTGGATCTTAAATGTACTAATATGTTTAGATTTCTAATATTTATGGCTTCTTTTTATCAAGATCTTTAGTCTATGTTGTGTTCTGTTAATGCGTGAACATATTATTTGTAGCACACTTGCCGTCCAATAATCGCAATAAGCTTCGTGCTCTGTTACTATTTAATAAAAGTATCAGCTTTAAAATTCTGCCAAATTCATAAAATTAAAAACAAATACCGCTTTGGCGCTCTTTAATGTGGCATGAGCGCTCGCTTTAGCACCTCAGTTCAAGCAGCATGTGAACCCATCATATCTTTCTCTTTACTACTATAGTATGAAATAAACATGAATGGACACCAAAAGGTATATTATAAGATACAGTACATCTTACTGAAATGTCTCATGTTAATCGCTCATTCAGTGTTTCAAACTGCGGAAAACATGTAAAGCTTGTTAACAATTCCACATAACAATATTCCACATAATACATTTACCTCAGAATAACCATTCGGCGTCCATAAGCTCATTAGTCAGCTTGAAAAAATAAAGCATTTTGCTTAATATATGCGCTATATAGCATATTCATGTAGACGGGTAGGTTAAGTAAAAATATAAGAAAGAATGCAAGGAGCGAATGATAAAATTCAACC